GGCCATGCCCTCGTCGGCCACGAAGACCTCACAGAACCAGATTTCATACTTAATCATTCTTATCACTTTGTATCTCGGCCCAGTAGCGGTCCAGTTGTAAATGGGCCTCCCAAGCCCAAGGCTTGGGAGCCCAGCCCGTATTTTCTCTATAAATACTCCCCTTGGGAGTAGTTGTAGGGGTGACAAAATCATTCTATTGAAGCATATATTGCACTTCTCTCTCTAGTTCTCACTTCTCTCTATACAATTACTCTATCAACAGGAAAATCAAGTTTCCGGAGTTCAAAGAGCTCATGACGTCCCTGTGGAGGCAGGAGTGGTGTATCGATCAAAGAAATTGGTGACAAGAGTTATCTATTTACTTTCAAGCATACCGTTGATATGAAGCGTGTTCTTAATGGAGGTCTGTGGCAATTTGAGAGAATTTTGTTGATTTTAAAAGAAGTTAGACCTGATGATATTCCACATAAGATTTGTTTAAATGAGGTCGAGTTTTGGGTACAAGTTCATAATGTCCCGTACAACTTGATGAATTTAGGTACAACTAGACGGGTTGGTAATTTTATTGAGAATTTTGTGAGTTATGATGATAATCAATTTGGTGAAAAGTGGGAATCTTACTTGCGAGTTACGGTGTGTATGAATGTGGAAAAGTCTCTGAAAAATGGTACAACCCTTTAAAAGGGAGGAATTGGCCATTGTGTGGATTTTAAGTATGAAAAGTTGCCCAATTTCTGCTTTGTCTGCAACATTATAGGGCATTCTGATAAATTCTGCCCATAGGCGTATGAAGAAAATATGGTTCTGGAAAAAACTTTAGGGGTACATCTTAGAGAAGGCAGTGGGGTGAAGATAAGTCCTACATAAGGAAATAAGTGGCTGATAGATGGGTCATCAAGCTCGAGTCGGGATCCCCAACATAAGGAGGACAACAAGTCGGATGGTAGGATGGGAGGGGGGTGGAAGGAATCTCCTTCAGGTATGGGTAATGGCTTAAGTAAAGATGCGGATTTAGGTAACAATGAGGAGGTGTTTAGAGAGTAGAAACGCAGGCGCATCTGGGAGGCTCAGGAAACAGAGAATCAAGTAGGGGATAATATGGCTTTGGATGCGGCAAAAATTGGGGAGGGGGCGGACTTCGAGGTGTAAGTCCGCCAAAATTGCGAATATAGTGGCCAACGCTTGAATCTTGGAATGTGAGACATGTTTTTTATTTTTTTCTCATTTATTTATTTTGATTGTCTGGATTTTATTGTTTACTTTCGGTTTTTTATGTTATTCTGTTGTAAGACTGTGGATTTGGATGTGTGTGATGGAAGGACTGTGTTAACATTCTTTGGCTCATTTGCGCCTAGTAATGGATCATCGAGATATATTGCTTCTTTCGAGGTGATAAACTCTGAGTCTGGTTCGAGGGTGGACGGTTGTCAGTAGTCTTTTTATCATTTTACCTACTATCTGAATGATGTGTTATCAATTTAAAACTATTTCTTCCAAAAAAAAACTATATATAAATTTATTGCCTGAGCAACGACATCATTCATTTGCGCGCATTTAGACAATCACATATTACGTTCACCCACACAATTAAAATTAATCATACAGACAACTAGATTTGATTATACAGACAACTATTGTCTGTGAGCAGCACAACTATTGTCTGTGATAAATTTTATGTGAACACAAACAACTAAATTTATTTTACACTCACAACTATTGTCTGTGAGCACTACAATTATTTTTTGTATGATAAAATCTATTTCAAATATTCATATGTTGTCACAGAGAACTGTTGTATGTGCACACAGACTGCATACGCAAAGATTGGTTGGCATGCCAACATTGACTTGTGCGCCTATCAGACATTTTTCTTTTACGGTGATAATTAGTGCTTGTGGATGAGACAAAAAAGAAATTGTGCTCAAACAACCTTGTCTACGTGCACTTTTGTGTGTCAATATACCAACCGCATGTGTCAGACAAATATGAACACAATATTCCCGTGTACCTACACGAACCAAAAGAAGGATGACACTCATGGGTCCCCCAACAACGACCGAACAGTTAGATGAGAGCATGTAAATTGGACTTTAATCACAAGTTGACAGATAGAGAGTGAAGTTCTAGCCTTGGTACTTGCAGAGGCCCTATGCATTTTTAGCATAGTAACCTCTCATCGCAGTTATCGGGATTCGAACCCGAGACTTACCCCTTGTGGCACCACATATCTACCAGTTGAGCTACGTCCACCTTACGCAAAGCAGCCTTGATGTTTTAGTATCATTGCTGTTGGCCAATATTTCAATGGCTAAATTCTTTAAAAAGTCACATATGTCACTTTAACTCTCTAAATTACAGAATTATGTCCTGTATAACTCTTTAAACCCACTTTTTCAATAGGCGAGTTATTCAAGTTTTATATTTCATTTCATGTTTTCTTACATTTTCCTCTAGGATTTTTTTGTCTACAATTATAAAATGGTCATTTAATATGATTTCTTTATGAAGCCATCATATGTCACTTTATATCATCAAGGCCGTCTAATGAATTTGGAGGCCCCAGTTCAAAATATAAATTTGGGGCCCTACATTAATATAAATTTTCTTAAATAAAATCTCAATCCAAACACTTATACTCAAATAAATGGAATGCTCATTAAAAGAGAACCAAAAGAATAAAAGGATCAACGAAAAAAATTATGTATCTACATTTTTCTTTCTTACTAGCTAACTGTATTTTACTGATTAGTATCAATATACGGAGTATAATATTACTATATACTACTAATAAGTTTTTAAAAATTTGGGGCCCCTTAAATTCGGGGGTCCTGCTCTGGATAACCTATTGAACCCTCTAAAAAACGGCCCTGTATATAATGTGTCTCTTTAAAATCACTCTCTCAACACCCGAGCTATTTAAGTTTTTATTTCATGTTTTCTTAAATGTTGCTTTAGGAATTTTTTATTTACTGTTACGAAAATGGTCATCATATTGTTTAGCTATGTATTCTTGTTCATATGTTCATAGTTAGTTTTTTATTTGAATAGTTCGATTTTTAATTGAAGCATGTCCAATTTGTCGGTTTTGATTCCAATTTTGATGGTCCTATCTAGGGGTGGAAACAGGCCATGTTTTTGTCCAAACAAGTTGGGCCTGTTTTAGAATATATAGCTAGGCTTGAGCCTGACCTGTTAAAGGCCTATTTTTTCGGTCTGAGCTTGACATGTTTAAAAGTCTGGCTTGACCTGAAGCCTGTTTACGGGGTGTTAAGAAAAATTTAAAAGTTCAAAAAAAAGTGAAAACTCCTTTTAACATGATATCAAATTTATCCACCCCAGTATTCACTAAAAATGTCCAATAATATGTTAGTTTTGCTCTGGATGTCTAATAATACGTTAGTCATGTAGTTTCTAAATTTTTATGAACTTCAAATCTTGAAAAACATTAAATTTCAACTACCTTAATAAACTATTAACACACTTTATATATTTAAAATTGTATTTTATTCTAATTTATAATTTACTCCATAAAAATACTATTATGCCTAATTTCATATAGTTAAGTATACTAATATAAATATAAATGTAAATAATACAAATAAATATAAATATATATACAGATACACACACAAATAAGCCGGCCTGTTAAGCTAAAAAGGCTTTAGCGTTGGGCTAAGCCTGGCCTGTTTAGATAAACCGGCTTTTTGAAAAGTCAAGCCTAGTTTGATTATTAAACAGAGCCCCTACAAGCCGCTAGGCCTATTCCCACCCCTAGTCCTATCGGTTTTTATGGGTAAACCTCAAATCATAATTCAAGCGATGTATGCTTTTGTTTATTTTTGTCGACATTGGTCTTGATCACTTCAATTCGGGTATAGCCAGATTTGTATATGGATTTCATTTATAGCTCTTTTTTCTACCCTATTGAGGTGGCCAAACACGCGTTCCGATACATGCAACGGCTAGTGATACCACATCATTAACTCTTCAAGCCTTGATGACATAGGCTGATGTCGCGATCTTTGTGTCATTTTCATGATGCCACTTACCTAGACAGAAGCTCAAATATATGGGGATTTTGGGTTGAGTCGTTCCCACGCCTCATCATCTTCCTTCTTTAAGCTTTCAATTTTTTTTATTGAAGCTTTCTAGTGTGTTGATCTTCTGCTCATTTTTTCATCTCTTGTCTTCTCTACTAGCTTCTTCACCATTGATCTTTTTCATTTCTTCAATGTTGGTCCATCAATTCCCTTCTATCTTGTTCTTCCCGGATTTTAGATGATTTTTGGTTTTCTTATGTAAACTATGTTTGTCGGGAAATGATTTAACAAATTAATACGAAGTATTTTAGTCACTTTGGAGCTAAAATATGTTAGGGATTCAAATCTCATTTTTAATGGGACCAAGTTCTAAAATATTGTACTTAGTGGGATGGACATACTCATATATTATTTGTAGAAAATCATTTTGAAATGAATGAGAAATTGTTATGTGAAGTTTTTCCAAAACAAGTTTTTGTATGATATTTGTCACATCGAAAACCTTAAGCTAGGGGTGGATTCAGGCCGGGCCGGGTCGGGCCTAGGCCCGGGCGGGCCGGCCGGTTCTGAATAGGTGGACCCGAGACCGGCCCGAGTAGCCACCGGGTCCGGGCCGGGCTGGGCCTCAGGCTTGGTTAATTTTTGTTTTTTGCTTACCTACCTATCCCTGCCCCCCCCCCCCCTCACCCTACCCCCCAAACCCCCCAAACCCCTCCTAAACATCAAGCCCAACCCAGGTGGAGCCCAAAAATTGAAAAAAAAAATCAATTTAGCCCGAACCGGACCTGGGCCCGTCCAGGCCGGGCCTCCTTTTTACCAACCCGAGCCCGCCCCGTTTTTACCAAATAACCGGGCCTTAGACCGGTTTTGGGCCCGAAGAACCGGGTCGGTTCCCGGGTCGGGTGGCCCGAACCGAGTCCAATACTACCTTAAGCAACGTTGAAGACTTTTTAATTATAAGCCAACTATTGCTATTGGGGTGCGGGGCCAAGGAGTATCCATGTTTTGTGAGGAGGAAAGATCCGCATGCGGTAAAGCGTGAAATTACACTTCACATTCATGCCGGCGCAGCCGGGGTGTCTGACCGAGTTGGGTTTCAGGTACCGGGTGCGTATGGCACGCGCACACATGTACCAACATCTTCAACTATAAAATCCCACAACCCCTCCCACAAATCTTTTCATTAAACAAACAAGATAACATATCACCACTTTCTCATCAATTTGAGACACTTAAACTAGCTATAGCTTACTAATTAACCATGGTTTCCGAGAGGAAGGTGTCCAAGAGTGTATGTGTTATTGGTGCCGGACCCTCAGGGCTGGTTGCAGCGAGAGAGCTAAGAAAGGAAGGGCACCATGTGTTGATTTTTGAACAATGCCATGATATTGGAGGGCAATGGCTGTACAATGCCCAAGTTGAAGGGGAAGATCCCTTAGGAAGGGCTAGACTCTTGAAGGTCCATAGTAGCATTTATGCATCGCTAAGGCTCATATCTCCAAGAGAAATTATGGGGTTTTCTGACTTCCCTTTCTTGACCAAGAAGGGGAGAGATCAAAGGAGATTTCCAGGCCATGAGGAGCTCCTTGCTTATTTAGGCGATTTTTGTGAGTTTTTCAAGGTGAGAGAGATGATAAGGTTCAACACAAGGGTCGAGTATGTTGGGATGATGAATGATAATAACGGGATCGGGAGCGACATGAGATGGACTGTGAAGAGCAAAGAGAAGAAGGGTGGTGATGAGAAGGTTGTGGAAGAAGTCTTTGATGCTGTGGTGGTGGCTTCTGGTCATTATTCCCAGCCCAGGCTGCCTCAGATCAAAGGTTTCTGAATCTATCTGTTTCTTTTGTCTCTTCATCTACAAAGAAATTAGTCATATATAAATGGAGTCAGGGGAGGATCAAAAGTAGCCAAAATAGAAGACAATATATCATATAGCAGTATAATAAAAAACATTTTCCAAGTTCATGCCATCTCCTAATCCACATGGACAATGTGTGTGAGCCCAAGCACATATGTGTACTTATTTATTTATTTGCCCGTTTTGTACAAAAGGGATGAATGCATGGAGAAGAAAGCAGATGCATAGCCATATTTACAGAATGCCAGAGCCGTATCGCAATGAGGTAACTGATAGATGCCTCCATACAATAATTATAGCATTCTTCACAATTTGGATACTGATAGGAGTAGGGAATGGTTAGGGGGAGGATTTAGTGAATGTGGATAGAAGCATTCCCCAGCCCTCATACTCATCAGGCATGCATGGATGGGGTAATTTCATCCCCATTCCTTCAAGTCTTTCCTTAATCATTTCCTTGCATATACCATTACTCATACTAATGAGTAATTGAGTAGTGATTATGTCGCCAAAAGTGAACTTCACTCTTCAAAAGCAAGCTTATCATACATGACGTAAAAGCTACCATACGTACTATTTTCTATGTGCTTCTTTATAACATAATCAAGGAGATTACCCTGACCTGCTTTATTATTTTACATCATGCATTCATGCGGTACACCGGTATGTGTATTCTTTTAAGTAAAAATGTTTGTAAATTTCAAAATACTTTGTAAATATGATTACTACTCCCTCCGTCCCAAATTGTTTTGCAAAATCAACATTTTTTGCTCAATCAATAATAAAAGTCAATCTGCCATATCGATAATTAATTCAATTTTTAATAATAAAAATTTACATATTCAGAAACTACATTAAAATCTATTCAAAATTGTAAACTCCAAATTATAATATAATTAAAAATCGGCATCCTATTTTGGTTGTCCCAAAATGATTTTCCACTTACTTTTTAGGTAGGTAAATAAGAATAAAGTGACAAATTTACTCTTATTTTTACTTTTTTCCCATTAACTTAAAGGCACATACTTTTAGAAAGATGGACAAAAGTGTAAAAAGCAAACATGAAATTGGAAATTAAAAAAACTGAAGGAGCATCCGGAACCCCCAAATCGAAGGTTGTAATTCGTGGGGGGAGTAAGCGGAGCAAAACCACCAATTTCATCGCCGTCCACGTCCTTCAATTAGCAAGAAATTGGAGAAATGAAAAAAGAGGAAGATGGATGTGAAATTGAAAGAAACAAAGCAACAAATGGGGAGATGAAAGTTGATGATGCTAGTGGAGAGATAAAGAGAAAATAGAGAACCAAAGGTTGTAAAGATTAGAGTATTGCAATCATTGGGTGGTGGAGGAGGAATTTAAAGAAGTTGTGAGATTTGGGTGGAAGATAGGTATAATAATTAAGGGTATAAAAGGAAATTGGCTTATTATTTACTTCCTAAAAGGGAAAGGTTGCATTTAATTTGAAACTGCCGAAAAAGGAAAGTGTTGCACTTATTTAAGAACGAAGGAAGTATACTAACTGGTCATGCCGGCAAAAGTACAATACCTTAACGTACTATAGAAGTTGCCTAATCTTAAAACAAATTTTACAGTTTATCTGCATTTTATATGTTCTTTAGGTGGTTGTGGTAGTTGGGAGTTCACTGAGTGGGCAGGATATTTCCATGGAGCTTGTAAATGTAGCAAAGGAAGTCCATTTGAGCGCCAAGTATCCTCGTAACGTTTCGGAAGGCTTGTCAAAAGTCATCTCCAAACATGCTAATTTTCACATTCACCCTCAGGTTCATAGTGTGTGTGTACTCCATAATCCCTATTATATAGGATACTACATGCTAAGTTAAAATCGCTTCTGAATATGGAAGATAATGTCACTTTTCTGATAAATTTTTGGAGTTAATATGTACTCTAAATCTCTAATGGAAAGTGCAGATAGAGTCATTGCAAGAAGATGGGCAGGTTGTGTTCATAGACGGCAGTTCCACCATTGCAGATACCATTTTATACTGTACAGGGTATACATGCTCATATTAAATGCTTAATGTCTTTTACAGAAGGAAATAAAGATCAATAAATGACAAATTCTTGATCAAGTATACACAGTATTGATCCTAATGGCCACCCTAAATTACCCTAGTAGTTACTCGAGTGGTGGAATGAAAGCAGTTCTTAAAAAAACTACAAAAACTAAAACCTAGTGTGATTGACTAGGATAACTATTAAGTCTCCTTGGGAAAATTAACAATTTTATTTAGGTCTTAAGAAGCACAAACTGTGTCAGTCTAACCTTTTTGGGAGCAGGGAATAATGAGTTATCCATGTGGGTTTTTTATGCTTCTAACAGGTACTCCTACTCCTTCCCATTTCTTGACACCAAAGGTATGGTTGTAGTGGACAATGACAGGGTGGGGCCCCTATATGAGCACACATTTCCTCCATCACTATCTCCTTCTCTGTCCTTCATTGGTATCCCAAGAAAGGTAGGGTATATCCCCCTAACTTCCCTGCAAAGTTTTGCCAGAGGCACAAGAATAATCACTTGATATTTATAAGCGATTGACAACCACTTCCATACACAATTATACAAATTCAAGGAAACTCATTGTTTTTTTCTGTGACATTGTTAAATAGCTCATAGGGTTCCCTTTCTTTGAGTCTCAAGCAATATGGATAGCGCAGCTTTTATCTGGAAAAAGGACACTGCCATCACGGGAGGAAATGATGCAGTCCATAAAGGAATTTTACAAGTCTAGAGATCTTGCTGGCATTCCTAAGCATAATACCCATGACCTTGCAGACTTTGACGTAAATAATTACCTTTCTCATATGGTCATTGGATATTTGCTTCTTTTCACTGTCCTGGTGTATCTAGAAATTTTTCGTAGTGAAGGCGAACTTACACTAGAACTTAGTCAAACATTTCACAAATAACAAATCACATTATTAATAGTGTTTGATTAGACTTAGTTTAAGATATACTCCCTCCGTTTCCTAAAGAAAGTCACGGTTTGACTTCACAATTATTAAGGAAATAAATTGACTTTTACTGTAGAAAACACTGTTTAGACACTGTTTGGCACTGTTTGGACACTGTTTGGCACTGTTTGGATGTAGATTTCTTTGCCAAATAAGGAAATAAGGGAAGTGTGACTTTGTTTTTGAAACATCTCAAAAAGGAAAGTGTGAGTTTCTTTTAGAAACGGAGGGAGTATATGTACAAGTATGTATAAAAAGGAAATCAATTTATATCAAGTGTGTGCAAAGAGGCAATTGTGGATAAGATTTGAGGAATTATCTCAATAAAAGTTAAACATAACAAAATTTGGTGATGTTTTTATCCTTTTATACTTTTAATTAATAGGCTTACATAAATCCTATCCTATACTCCGTATTTAGGAAAGAAAACACTGTTAATCCTAATTTAGAATTTTTCCTTTCTTTAACTCCTATTTTGAGCAATTTCCTATAAAATTTTAAATATATACTCCGTATATATAGGGGCTGAGTTGGGGTTGAGGGGAGCAACTGCCCCTCTGCCCTCATAGTATCCTATTCTTTCACTATTACAAATTTACACTACTACTTTCTTTATCAGTTCTCGATAAACAGGAATCTAATTCACCATCATTACTATCAGGGGTCAGTGGTATTAAACCTACACTGTCAATTAGTTTTTTTTGCTGTCAATTAGTTTATTAAGATAAGATGACACTATACACGCAGTGGCAATGTTTTACGCCAAATGGACTTCCTACCACAAGGGTGTATGGGCAAGCCTTCCATTGTAACCGGTGCGCTAAGGGGCTCGCCTTCTCACCAAGTAACAATGAAATGAAATATTAAAATAAAAACATTATAATAGGCTATTTCCACCAGCATGAAAAATACCATGAGACGGTGTCACGGTGATGAGTTAATATAGTGTTGATGTAATGTCTTCACGGACACAATTGCCATTGTAAAATCATTATACAAATCATGATAGTACCTGCAGCTCCTAATTATGTCTCTTGCAGTACTGCGATAAATATGCAGATTATGTTGGATTCCCACATCTAGAAGAATGGAAAAAGGAGCTCTGCATATCAGCTCTGATAAACTCAGAAATCAACCTGGAGACGTATAGGGATGTATATGATGACCATGCCATGCTTCAAGTAGCTTATCAGAGTCCTCACTTCACTCAGGTTGACTCTCAGGCTTTCACTGGGTGAATACATTGAACAGAATATGCAACACTTCTCCATTCAGTTTATGCAGGACTAAATTATTTAATTGGTTGATAGCTACCACTAGACTTAAGTGTGTTTCTCAGCATGTAACAAAAGACACATCATCAAGATAAAACAATCTATGTGATCTACCTTCTATTTATCAAGACTTAAGTTTGTTTTGCATGAAGGCATCTTCCCAAGTGTACAAACCAAAAAGTGAAGACAAGATCTGCTCAGATGTTTCACATGAGAAAAAGAAAATTTGATTTCAGGCTATAATAAATAAGCATTAAGCAACTAATGTGGAGTTTCCATAATCCATCAATAAGCTTAAAAAACTGGTCGCCCTCATCAACTTCGCACAAATGAGAGTATATATTAGAGTAAAACTAGTTCCAACCACCAAATATAATACTACGTAAAAAACTTTGGTACAGGTAATGCCCTTTATCAATAAATAAGACAATGACTGCTTATGGATGATGCCACTTTTCAACTTAAACGTTTCTGGTGAAAATGCTTTATGCGTAACTGCTTCCCGCATATGGTTACCAAGCATAAGTGACATGCACTAAGGAGTAAGGAGTAAGGACCATAGTGGGCGCAAAAAGTCATAACGATCGATTTGTGATGATCAATAATCATAATTTTTTTTTCCTGTTATATACAACGATATCATCTTAATTATTTCATTTACATTCCTTTTGATTGTAATTGTGTGCACTTGTTCTTTTTCCTTAAAAATATACTCCTAATAGTGCCATTTTTTTAGAAATCAAAATTCTCACCACCATTGTATACCTTTTATGTTTCACCAGTTTCACTAATTAAATACAGAAAACGAGATCAAAGTATGCCAAACTTGTAAGCATATGTGAAAGGTGAAATGCATATAATGGAAATCTATCTTCACTTTATGTGGAAACAGTTGCTCAGCGCATTATAAACACCTGGTGTTGTCAGACGATGTGTTGATCCACCGGAAGAATAATGTTCTTTTAGACTCATATCCAACAAAAGAGCTAAAGTAGTCATGAATGTCAGGAAATTTTTTGAGTGGTTGAGTAGTTCCCAGCTCAAAGTTGCATACCATTAATTATATACTTGATCCTTGAACGAGCACATCAGCCATAGGAAACGTTTTGTCAACAATAATATGAACAGTCCTTGAAAATTGAGATGGAAAAGACTGAGTTCATATCCACCTCAGCACAACCGGTTAATGATCTCTTTTGGAATTCTCAGCAGAGCCAAACTTGTCACTTCGCAACCAATTGTAACAACCTCAAGTCCAGGTATGGTTCCCTGTTGGAGATTCCTTGCAATTTCCAAATTCAAAAACTACTCAACCATGCAAAGTGCCACTTCATAACAGTAAGGGAAAAACGTAACTAATGTGCTAGTTCTGTTAACAAAGATATAAGACCTTTGCTAGAGCTTTGCAGACCAAGACACTGTTACAACAGCTAACTTCTCCCAGGTAGACTACAAAGGGACCATATTAATTAGGTGCTACCAATAATCTTTGCAAGAACAAATACCTCCACTAAAATGGTGAAAGAGATATATATCTCTGACAATAATATTCCTTCTATAAACTGCAGAGACAAGCTTAAAAAAGTGATGGCAGTCATGGCAAATCCTTAAATTTTTCATTATCCTTAATGTATTACTCGATGAATTCAAAAGCCCAAATGCTAATGCGAGTTTCTCACTATGGTGTATCAGATTATGTTCCTTTTCCTCTTCCTCAACATCATATAAAACCATTCCCGTATCTGCCTCATAGCCAACTAATTTCAACTTTTCTTTCATGTCTGCCAACATATTGCGAACATTCTGGTATCCTGGACTAATTGAATCAGATGCCTGAAATACATACATTGCATTCGCAATTTCAATTGAGCTCCAACCAGGGACCTTTCTGATTCCTTTGCTAGCCATTAATTTCCTTACTTCTCCAACTTCGGTCCACTTCTTTTCATGAACATAAGCATTTGACAGCAACACATAATTTTCTGCATTCCATGGTTCTAGCGCAAGAAGCTTTTGGATTGCAAACTCGCCTATTTCTGCATGTCCATGAAATCTGCAAGCGAAGAGCAAAGCCCTCCATATAGCAGGGTCTGGCTGCAGACTCATAAAATGAATCATCTCCACGGCTTCATCCAAAAAGCCACCACGACCAAGTAGATCAACCATACACCCATAATGTTCAATAGTTGGTTCCAACCCAAACTCATTCCTCATTCTTGCAAAAAGTGTCCTACCTTCCTCAACAAATCCTTGGCGACAACAAGCACACAAAACTCCCAAGAAAGTCAATCCATCAGGCTTGAAATTTTCCATTACCATCCTATTGAAAGATTGCAGTCCAACCTCCCCTCTTCCATTCATGGCATATCCTGATATCATAACATTCCATGTATGCACATTTTTGTACAGCATGGACAGAAAAACCTTCTCAGCCGCATCAATATCACCACATTTAGCGTACATGTCAATAAGTGAAGTGCCAACATAAACATTCAACATCAAACCATTGTTTTTTATGTAATCATGAACGAACACCCCTTGATCCAAAGCTCCCAAATGAGCACAAGCAGACAAAACACTGGACATAGTCACCTCGCCGGGGCGAACACCACTCCCCAGCAATTCTCGAAACACATCAATTGCCTCCCTGAACTTCCCCATATGTGCATAACCAGAGATTAAGGAATTCCATGAAACCGTATTTCTTTGAGGCATTTCATCGAATATCCTGCGAGCTTCCGTGCATTGTCCGAAGCCACAGTGCATATAAACCAGAGAGGTGTTTACATAAATATCAGAACGAAACCCCATTTTCATTACACTACAATGCACTGATTCGCCGAACCCCACGTAGCACAACTGAGCTACTGACTTAAGGACGCTTGGGAAAGTCGAGTTATCAGGCCGAATGTCGAGTCTGTGCATTTGGGTGTAAACAAAAACCGAATACAAGTGCTTCCCTGAATCTGTATATCTTCTGATAATGCAGTTGCAAGTCTCCACATCAATGAGATGACCAAACTGCGTAAAGAGAAGGGCGGATAGACCAAACCCGCGAGATGGCAGAGAAGCGTCAAGAAGTTTAGTGAAGGATGGGTGGGTAAATAATGGTTGGAAGCCTGAGAGGATTGCAGACGATTCGCACATTCGTTGGAGTAGATTGAGTGATGGTTTCATGATAAACACAAATTCATTGCTTGGGCCAACAATTATTAATAGAAAATCTAGTACCGCAAATTACATCTTAGAGCTAGTCGTACTATTGGCTCACAAACGGACGATTCGCACTTAGAAGGATGTATCGCAGCTCGCACACAGACGGACGACTCAGGACTCTGGTGTTTGGATACTTCTCACTGCGGCTGCTCTCGCAGCAAAGTCCTTCGTACATCTGAAAAAGTAGGTGCGGCTTAAATATTCTGCCCTTGAATTTTAAACTAGAGAATTCCCAAAACTTTTACATAGTATCTCTTTTATAGGACAAAAATAGAACTAATCTCACAAACCTTAAAGGGGGAAAATGGAAACTAATAATCCAACATTTTAACGGTCTTCTTACAATAGTCTCACTTTTTGATTATTCAGGAATAATTCAACCTTTGCACCTCATCATCAATCAATGGTCCCTGACCGGTTTATGACCTGCTATTCCAAGTTATTTTCTTATATTTGCAATATATTATACCATAAATCTCACCTTATGGTCACATAATGTTTTGCAAAGATAAGAAAATAATTTGAAATAGCAGGTCATCAACCGGTTATGGACTATTGAATGAAGATGGGGTGCAAAGGTAGAATTATTCCCGAATAATCAAAAGGTGGGACTATTGTAAGAAGACCGTTAAAAGGTTGGATTATTAGTTTCCATTTTCCCAAACTTAAATAACTCTCAGGCGGACGTTTCCAGCATGTCCACCTCCGCTGCACTTGGGCGAGGCCGTCACTGCCATCGAGCAATGATGTGTCGCCTTTGTAACAATCTTGCAGACCTTTGCAGAGAATGTCATTTTGATAAGAATAATGAGATGACATTTTCATATAAAAGCGTGGCATTTTCAAATGCAAAAACATGAGAATTTTGGGTGAAAAATAATCGCACTTTAAAATTGAAAATTCTGGCATTTTAGCAAGAAAATTTATGATTATCAAATTAAAACTGGAAAATATAAAATATATGAAAAAATCAAAAAAGAAAAATTGGACTTACTATGTCCATCTTTAAACGTTTAGTACCATAAAAATGACATCATTAGGCAAAAAGGTAAAAAAAAATGTCATTTAAAATTCGAAGTTCACATATTATAAGAGAAAAACAAAAAAAACAAAACAGAGGACCAGAAAGAGGGGGAAGAAGGAGAAGAAAGAGGGGGGAGAAGGACAAGAAAGAGGATGAGGATGAGGAGGGGGAGGGGGAGGAGGAGGAAAGAGGAGGAACTACAAAGACTAGGAGGAGGAGGTTACCTGAGAAATTGCAGAAGAAAAGAGGTGTGGCCGTGCGACTATGAAGATTTCGATGTGAGCAGAGGAGTGCGGTCGTGGAGATTACAGTGTGAGCAGAGGAGAGCGGTTATGTAGGTTCAATTCAATTGCAAGGTCACAACTATGTAACTTCTGGTAGCTATGCGTCTCTGGAGGTTTCAGTTATTGGATTTAATGATGTGAGGGGTAAAATGGTAATGGTAATCGGTGATCCTATTTAGTGAATTTAAAACATGTAGTCCTACTTTGGAATGTTGACCATATTTTAGTCATATTCAGATCAAATTCTTTTTTTAAATACAACCATTCCAACCATTTTGAGTTGCTATAACAGAATGTTTTTAAACAGAATAAATTAGGACTATTGATAAATCTTATAAAAAATCATACAAATTTGAAACAAAATATAATAATCATGATAATAATAATAATATAAAATCATAAATGTAAAAACCTTTTAAATAGATGTAGAATGTGAAAATAATTTCAAAATTTCAAAATGTTGACTTTCACAATCTGAAAATTTTCACAAATTTTTTCTATATTTCTTCAAATTTTAATATTTTTTAGAGTTCTTTTAATATAAAAAATCTGCTATTACAGGTCAAAAACTGGACAAATGAAAAAATTGTTCAAGTTTTAAAACTAAACGTACTTATATGATTCTTTTTTAGTGCACGGACTTAAGAGATGGTTTAGAAATAGTAGGACTTATTTTATTCTTTTCCCTTAAAATAATGGATCAAAGTTTCTTAGATTTGACCGAAAAAATCAAAGATGGCTAAATAAAAAAGGGGCGGATGTAGTATTAAATTAGACTCACATCTATTATTATAATTATAATGTAAAAGCAAAATGTTTTTGGGGTTGTGTTCCCGCTCAAAATTGTCAACCTCAAGTTATGTGGATCGTTGCTGTGACACTTCAAAAAATTTAAATAAAAATAAAAATAATTTTTATTAGTCAGATAAAATATTACGAAAATAACATTTTTGTAATTAATTGAGTCAGACAAAAATTCAACAGTTGTGACATTCTAACCAGATAAAAATTTCCAAGTTTACGACGTTTTAGTCAGATAAAAATGGTCCGATAATAGATGTAACGTATAAAAATAATTTTATGTATAACATTTTAAGTTGTATTATTAATTAAAATAATACGGAGGGACTGTACAATAATACGTAGTATAATTTATTAAACCTAAACTAAACTACCTACGTACGTATAAATTTTTATACGTATAAATTATTAGCAAACAATATAAAAAAAATTTAGTATTTCAAATAAACTAAACTAACTACGTACGTAATACTTAGTATATAGCAAGTATACTTCTAATACTCCTAACCCTAATATACAACTCATACAAGGACTTAGAAGACCTATCCAAACTGATCGGCGACTCCTAAGCAAGGACGGATAGGGCCAGAAGAAGCTGTTTTAAACTCAACTCTAATACAGCCAAAAACCCTCAACCTACATCTATAAATAGCAGCCTTAACCTGCGTTTTATTCACATCAAGAAAACGATCAGTTCAGCCCATATATATACATATATACGTATATATATATATACTCTACTTTTTCGACCATTCGTTTTAGCCACAACCAAGCCCTGAAAACACTCTAGAAACCTTCCCCTTCGTGAGACGAATCCAACGGAGAAAGAATCGTGGAAAACGGACGTCGGAGTAGGGAGATACAGCTCGCCGGAGTTTCGCCGGGGAAAAACCTTCACGACGGAAACGGAGGAGGAGGGACTGCCACCGCCGCCGACGGACCATCACAAACCTTCGCCATCCCCAAACGAGCCTGCTAGCACCGCCGTTACGTCCGTCCGACGAGGTAAGCCCCTTCCCCTTTTTTTTTCCGTTTTCCGGCGACCTGGGGAAGAAGACGACCCAGCTTTGCTGGGGTCAGTCTTTTGGGCCTTTTTCATGTTGGGCCAGAAAAATTAAATTTTTGGCCAGTTCGTCCCAGTTGCAATAAAAATTAAAAATAAAATAGTAAATGAAATAAATAAAATCTGGAAAAATATAAATTAAATACCTGGTATAAATATACATATTCTGACCAACCAGAATTGAAAGATAATATTTTTAGCTATTTTTAATTGATTTAATTGTAATTGGGCCAATTTGTACACATTTAGTAAATAATTAACTAATTGACGAAAATAATTATGAAATAAATGTTGGAGTAAACTAGGATAAATATATGACTAACTAGGACCTTAAGGACCAATTATAATTAATAAAAATAAGGTTTAGTATATTTAATTGTAATTGAACCGGTTAATAGATATATGAAATTAAAGGAATAATTATGGAAAATAATTATAAAATAGATATCTGGACAACCTAGGTCAAATATAGACCCAAAATATAGTTATGGACGGTTATTAATTTATAAAGTCGATTCTTAGTCTATTTAATTTAATTGGGCCATATAAAACTAGTTAAGTAATTAAATAAGGAAATATTAATATTAATGATGAAATAAATAAATCACTGAGATTGAAAAATAATATTCTGGACTAAAAATAATGTTGGATTAAAATAAGGAAAATAAAATAAGGTTGGGTTAGCTAGCATAAATAATTGACTATATGTAGACTTAATAACTAACTTAGTTATGTAATTAGTGGACTAATTCAATTAATAATTTTTATGATTGATTATTAGAGATTCGGACTTCATATAAATATTTAAAATATTTGAACTCATAAATTAATGTGTTAATATAAATAAAGTAATTAAATAATATTTTATGAGTAGAGTAAATTAATGGTGATTATTGAATAATAATTTGATGTTGTAGTTAATTATATTCGGATATTTTATTTAATATTAGAATTCAAATATTTTAATTAATGGCTGAATTAATAAGGTAATTTGATTAATAAAAATTGATTAATCAAATAAATTCGAATAACTAATAAATTAAGTTAATAAATTCGAATACTAAAATAAAAGGAGAAAATCGGGTAAAGTAATTACAAATAGAATAAGTGACTAATTTTATCATATTTAATTAAAAAGGTGATTATCTAGAGACCGGATTAGAGGAGGATAACTAGGAGCATCAGGACTTAAGGTAAGTTTCTCTGCTAATCCAAAATTGTTTCCTCGTATTATATGCTTATTATGCATTATGTGATTAAGTGTGAATTGTGAATTTTGTGTATGTGATTTTGAGGAGATATTATATATATGGTAGTTAAGAAGTATAAATCAAGTACTTTTGGAGTATTAAATATTTTTAAATACCTTCGAGACTTTTTAGAGAAATTAAGAAGTATTTTTGAAGTATCGTTAAACGAAGATAAAATTTACATTTTCATAAAAAGTGAGCATCTCGGGAGTAATCCGAGGTGTCGGTTTTCCACATCCGGATAAATGTGGAGGGTGATTAGAGCTACTACTACTAAGAAGTACAGTTTAAGTTTCAAGTGAGATTTGGATCTATGATCCCTTTTAAGAAGAAGTTATAGTAGTAGTCCCTAATCATTCAAGAATTTTAGAGGTGGGGTGGTTGGGTTCCGACCACTCGGGATGACTTACTACTCGGAGGGCTTGGAATCCCTTTTAGGGGGTGTGCACACTTAAGGTAGTCGTTTCGTTTCCGCAAGAGCAGTTGTGGTACCGACACTTGTTCGGGGTGGCCGTCCGTAACCACGGTCCACCGGGCTCAGTCGAAAGGTTGAGCACCGCCCTTCTAAATTACTAGGAAGTTAGAGAAGAAGTGATTTTCTTAAGAAGATTAAAGAGAAGAATTACTAAGAGATTTTCCAAGAGAAGTTTAAGATTTTAGCAAAGAAGTGATTTTAAGAAAAATCAAAGAGAACAGTATTTTGGTGGAGTGCGTCATTTTTATATGATATTATATAAAAATCTATTTTCGTCAAACCTGATTATTTTATGGGGTTGGGTAG